TGATAAAGTAAGTTCGGAACCTCCACAAGGCATTGTTAATGAACCCGTTACTCAAGATGATTTGGTTGTTCATGAAGAACAAACTCAAGATCCTCAAGAACCTGTGCATCATGAGCCAATAACTTTGCGGAGATCCACTAGAGAAAGAAGAAGTGCTATTTCGGATGATTACATGGTATTTCTTCAGGAACATGAGGAAAATAATGGTATGATGGAAGATGACCCAGTTAACTTCCGTCAAGCCATGCAAGGTTCTAACTCTGAAAAGTGGATTGAAGCAATGAAAGAGGAGTATAAGTCCATGCAAGACAACAAAGTTTGGGAACTTATCCCATTACCAGAAGGTATGAGACCCATTGGTTGCAAGTGGATATTTAAGACCAAACGGGATTCTAAAGGTAATGTGAAAAGGTATAAGGCTCGTCTGGTAGCTAAGGGTTATACCCAAAAGGAAGGGATTGATTTTAAAGAGACTTTCTCTCCAGTTTCATCGAAAGACTCTTTTAGGACAATCATGGCTCTTGTAGCACATTATGATTTGGAGCTTCATCAAATGGATGTCAAGACGGCATTTCTTAATGGCAACATTGATGAGACGATTTATATGGTGCAACCAGAAAATTTTGTGCAGGGAGATTCAAAGAGTATGGTTTGCAAACTGACAAAATCCATTTATGGACTAAAACAAACATCTCGTCAATGGTACTATAAATTTCATCAAGTAATTCTCTCATTTGGCTTCGAGATGAATATTGTTGATGATTGTGTATATCACAAGTTTAAGGGGAGTAAGTATACTTTCCTGATATTGTATGTTGATGACATTCTACTTGCCACTAATGATATAGGCATATTGCACGAAACCAAGAAATTTTTATCAAAGAATTTCGAAATGAAAGATCTTGGTGATGCTTCTTTTGTATTAGGAATTCAGATACACCGAGATCGATGTCAGGGTATTTTAGGATTATCACAAAGGAGCTATATCGAAAAAATTCTTAAAAGGTTTGGCATGCATGAATGTAAATCGGGGATACTCCGAGTTGCTAAGGGAGACAAGTTTAGTCTCAATCGGTGCCCAAAGGGAAATTTGGAAATTGAGAAAATGCAAAAGATTCCCTATGCATCAGTTGTAGGGAGTTTGATGTATGCCCAAGTATGTACGCGTCCGGACATAACATACATAGTTGGGGTTCTAGGCGAGATATTTAAGCAATCCAGGAATGGACCATTGGAAAGCGGCAAAAAGGGTCATGAGATATTTAAAGAGAACAAAAGATTACATGCTCACATACGGGAGGTCGGACCAGTTGGAGATCGGCTGGGTTTTCGACTCGGACTTTGCGGGATGTCAAGATAGTTTGAAATCCACTTCAGGTTACATTTTCATGTTAGCAAGTGGTGCGGTTTCTTGGCGCAGTGTCAAGCAAACCCTTACAGCTTCATCCACTATGGTAGCAGAATTTGTAGCATGCTATGAGGCATCAAATCATGGAATATGGCTGAGAAATTTTGTCACAGGGATGCAAATTGTGAAAGGCATTGAAAGATCACTTAAGTTATATTGTGACAACAAATTAGCTGTATTGTATTCCAACAACAACAGAAGTTCGACTAAGTCAAAGCACATCGACATTAAGTTTCTAGTTGTTAAGGAAATAGTACAAAGTGGACAGATTTCCATAGAACATTTAGGGACAAACTCCATGATAGCAGATCCTCTAACTAAAGGACTTTCGCCCAAGGTCTTTCATGAGCATGTTGCTCACATGAGTGTTTTACAGTTTGAGGAATTTGTGGTTTAGTGGGAGTTAGTCATTTTCATACATTTTATGTTCTATGCTTAATTTTATATATGTATACATTGATTTTTTGGACATATTTGGTTATCTATAGATATGCGGTTTTTTGTTCATTCATTACACTTTGTACATTAAGGTTATTATATCGATCTCGATAAGTTAAAGTTTGGACCAGTTGAAAATAGACGTGTACAAATCACTTTCACGTAATTTTTCATGCTACACATTTCATGATGAATCCATGTCATTTGGTTATGTCAGGATGAGTAATCATTGTTGGTTTTAGTTGCGATGATGCAATGAAAAGCTGGTTTGGTTCTATATCCTGATATGATTAATGGACAAAACTTTTGGAATATGTTAAAGGAATATAATGACAATTTTGAGCTCATAAAGTCTAACACATTTGTAAGGACATATATATTTGTGACCAGTGGGAGATTGTTGTCAAAATTTGGGTCATGTATATATATGATACATATTTAAATGTGTTGGGGTCATTATTTATTAAGCCAAATAATAAAGTGATCTGACTAAATTAAAAAGGTTTGGCTAAAGACATATGTCATGAAAATAAAATTGTGTAGAGACCATAAAGTAATTTCTAATTTGATGAGGGGCCAAATTGGAAATACTAAAATTTAAGTAATTAACCTAATTCTCGTTATATAAAGGGTCATGGTCCCTTCTGGGAGCACCCAGACAGAACGCAGTTACATTCCCGTTCTTTTCTTTCTATCCCCATCAAGAGAGAAAATCAAGAGGGAAATACAGGTGTTCTTCAGGTGGAAGACGATAAGATCAATAGTGCTCTAAAAGGGACATCATCATTATAACTAATTCGAGTGCGCTTCAGTATTTAGTTTATAACATGTTTATAGTATGAGATTACTTTATATTTGATCGTTAGATTAAAGATCATATTTAATTATTAGTTTACCCATCACTTGTTATATTTTATGATAATATTATTAGAAAAAAATTTTAATATAGGAATTATTATGCATTTTAAAATTATAGTTTATCGTAATTTTTATATTTTATAAAAATAATTAAAAATTATAAAAATTATAATTTTTAAATTATAGGTTAAAACATAACTAAAAATTCTCATATTTTATAAAAATCTTTTTTGTAACTTTTTTATAAAAATTACAAAAAATAAGTTTCATGCAAATTTAAATAATTTCTTAAGAAAAATAGTAAAAAATGTTAAAAAATGATATATATAAATTATTTTTATCTATATTCTTAAATGATAAGAAAAATAGTAAAAAAAATTAATAATAAGAAAAAATGATATATATAAATTACTTTTCATCTATATTCTTAAATGATGAGAAATTAAACATACTGAAATATAATCCTTAATCTTCCGCTAAAGATGTTTCATATATGATTTAAGTAATTAATAAATATTTTTATATATATTTATATGATTTAAGTAATTAATAAATATTGATATATCATATTTATACATTATATAATTCAATATTACATTAAAATAAAATAATATGATTTTTTATTAATTATTATTATATATTTTGTTATCATGATATTAATTATTATCTTATATTATTGTCAGTATAAAATCTTACGAGTCATTTTACATTTATAAATTTTCATAAAACTAAATATAAAAGATTAGAAAGTTACAATTTTATCACTTTAGAGATATTTTTACAACATTTTAAACTAATAAAATGTTATATTGGTGGACCTAAAATTTTATCCTGAGTAATAAATCAATGTTAAAGAAAACCAAATTTTATTTTAACTATAATTATTGTTTCAACTAAATATATGTAACAAACTTTTTGTAAAATTTTATTCTGAGTAATAAATCAATAAGTAATAACTAGAAAATTAAAAAATAGAATTAATTTCATAAATAATATATTTAAAATAAAAATTAATTCAACTAAATTATTTTTAATTGTGAGAATTTTAATTTAAAAAATAACCTTTAAATAAAATCTTATTTTTAAACTTTAAAATCTAAATAAAAAACATTAATATAAGCAGGCAACCGTCACACGTACTAAATTGATATAATCAATTAAGTCGTTGTTAACAATTTACATGAATTTGATTTTACGATTTATTTTTAATTGAAATTAAATTTTTGATATAATTCCAAATTTTCCTTTTACAATTTTATTTTAAAGGCTATAATATTTTATAACATACAAAGTTAATAATAAAAATTATTTTTTTTTATATTTTATCTTCTTATTTTTAATTATTTTTATTATTTTATTCACACTTTCTTTGCAACATAAATAAAAAATTTAAGAATTTTGATTTTAATTAAATTACAATTAATTTTGTATATATTAGAGTTCTTTTAAACGTGTTATTTCATTTGTTAATTTTATTTACTTTTATTTAAGTATTTAGATTAACGAAGAAAATAAGCAGTTGGTTGGAATCGGAGTGGTCACGGGTCACGGCGTGTTTATTTAAGGAAAGATAACAAAACGGAAAAAGAGTGTAGACGCAACGCAAGGTATATATTATAGATCACACCCACACTGAATCTTAATCTTCGCCAATGACCAGCGGGCTTAAGGCCTTAATCTTATTCTTAATTAAACACCTACTAATCTTATCTTCTTAATCTCTAAGGCCCTCTCCTTATTTTGAATGCTTTGCCAAAAAAATATTATCAAAATAAAAATAAATTAAAAAGAAAAGAAGAAAAATGCCAAACGGAATTTGGAGCCGTCACACACCGCAAGTTAAGTCGGCAACAACGCGCCTCGCCCTCCCGTCCAACCCTCACTCCTCAAAATTTCAAAACACATTGAAAGTATGAGAATATTATATTTTCCTGTATAAATTATTATTTATATTAATAATAAAAAAAGTGGCATTGGCAATGGAATAAGGACATAGTAGATTATATGCATTGATTGATTAATTAATAAAATTTGAAATTTAAAATTGAGAAAATAATTGGGTGTTTCCGATAGTAGTAGTTGTAGCGGTCAAGCCGAGCCGATCCGATGACGCGAGCCACTCACACACTGGGGGTTCCCCCAACAACACGCGCCCCTCCCCGGCGACCGTACCGTATTATCCCCCACCCTTCCCACTCTTTCGCCTTGCCGTTTCGCTTTCTCTCTCTTCTTTCTCTTTCCCCATTCCCTCTCTCTTTCTCTCTCTTCTTCCCCGAACCCTAATTTCCGTTTTCCGATGCCCGACTTCAACGACTCCATCGCGCCGCCGTCGCGCCCCGTTCCCGTCCGCGAGGACTGCTGGTCCGAGGAGGCCTCCTCCACCCTTGTCGACGCTTGGGGTCGCCGCTACCTCGAGCTCAACCGAGGCAACCTCCGCCAGAAGGACTGGCAGGACGTCGCCGACGCCGTCAACGCGCTCCATGGCCATACCAAGAAGACGCACCGCACCGACGTCCAGTGTAAGAACCGCATCGACACCATAAAGAAAAAGTACAAGATCGAGAAGGCTAGGGTTTCGTCTTCCAACGGTACTCTCTCTTCCTCCTGGCCTTTCTACGAACGACTGGACGCTCTGATTGGCCCTAATTTCAACGCCAAGAAACCACCTTCCTCCTCGCCTACTCCATCGCCGCCTGTGGCTCTTCCGCTGCTTCCGCATCGGAAGAACCCTTCCTCCTCGCCTGCGATTGCGGTGACACCGACGGCCGTTGCGCTGCCGCAGAAGCGCTCTGCGGCGGCCGCGGCGATGGATGAGGGTTACTTCAGGAGGAATTACTCCGCCGTGGCAGCGGCTGCGGCTGCGGCGGAGGCTGACGAGGAGGAGGAGGAAGAGGAGGAGGAGGAGGCGGAGGATGTGGAGGAGGACGAGGAGGATGAAGATGAAGGGAGGGGTAGCGAGGTGGAGGAAGGGGAGAAGGAGAGGGAAGGGATGAGGAGGTTGGCGAAGGCGATAGAGAGGTTTGGGGAAGTGTATGAGAGAGTGGAGGGGCAGAAGCTGAGGCAGATGGTGGATTTGGAGAAACAGAGGATGCAGTTTGCTAAAGATCTTGAAGTTCAGAGGATGCAAATGTTTATGGACACACAGGTTCAGCTCGAGAGAATTAAGCGCGGGAAACGATCTGGCTCTAACGGTGAGATACAATTTCTTTCTGCCTTATTTCCCTATTTGGCTTGATTTGATGACAAGTTGTACTTTTTAATGTTTGGTTTTTCAACGAATCATGTTTTGGACTTGAGGATAGTGGGTTGCCAGGGGATTCTTCAATCAGTTTTTTTTTTTTTTTTTTACGGGAGAAGGAAATTAGGTTTTGTATGTTGGTTTCAGACTCTTGGGTTTCACTGGATGTTCTGAATTGGTTCTTTCTTGTAGTTCTGCAATTAAATATACTACTAGCAAGTGGTGCACTTTAGTACTTCGTTTTGGCAGGTTCTTTATATCATAGTTTATGGTCAGATATTTTTTTATGAACTGTTTTTCTATATAAATGGTTGAGGCTTTGAGTTGAGGTAGTCCTCTTAACTTTAAAGCTTTTACTGGATTCTGCTGTTTGTTTAGTATATAATTACTTTTTTAAGCTTCTGGTGACATTGACACTAAAGTGGGTGTTCTGTTAAAGATTTTGACTGAAGTGTCCTATATTGTTCTTTTTTGTTTGGCTTCTTATGTTGTAAGTTAGCTTGAAGTTTTTATAAACTCAAGGATCGATTGGTGTTTGGTTCATTGAACTGGTGTTCAAAACATACAAATCACACATTGGCCAATAACTTCTGCATGTAGATGAGTTTAGGTCTGCATACTTTTTTTGTCTTTCTTTGTGGTAGTAGTGTGTTGAAGAATTCTCACATTCAAAGCTTTGTTCTTTAATTCTGCATTCATCGGTTGTTGTTAATGTTTTATTTCACTTTCCTTTTGTATCAGATTGAAATACAGCCAAGCATGGTAAATTGGTTCTCTGTTTCTGCTCTCGTAAATGCAGTGCTGAACTGAGTGTGTTACATGTGTGCTGTATTTCAACTTTAATAAATGTGATGCAGTTTTGGGTAGTTGTAAGGTAAAAAGGGTGAAACATGTTAATGATTAAGCTCGTGGATATTTTCTGGCATAATGATATTGATTTAGGGGATTGGAAACACTACCATGCAGCAACTTAGTGGATGGATATTAGAAATATGATTATGGTTATATGTTAACTAAAACTAACAGTTGATAACTCAAGATTTCTCGGCCACATTGAGAAATATTGTCGTCATCCCTTCGATAACAAGAAAGGCTTTATGAATGTTATCTAGTAACTTGTCTTGTTTAGTATAACTATAATAATGAATTCCATTTTTGTAGTTCATTCTTACAAAACGACTTTAATGTGTAGACTTTATAAATTTAAGGTCACTTGTGGGTTCTTGATTCCTGTTGAAATGGTTATTTGGATGCGTGAATCTGAAAAGTTGAGGCACAATCTTACTGAAGTGAGGAACTTTAAATTGCCCTCTATCCAGTTTGCCTGGTCATCTATTGACCGTGGGTTTACGAGTCTGTTTATAGTGTGTTTGGGTACAATCTTACTGAAGTGAGAAACTTTGAATGAACTCTAAATAGATCACTTGTTCCCGTAATGAGCCTATCTCTGTCCAGTTGCATTCCAACTCAGTTACATGTTACGAGTGATGTCACACAGCTCCAACACTTCCATGTAGTTTAATTCTCAAAGGAAAACCTTCAGTGTCCTCTCTTGTTATCTGTACTTATCATCTACACTCAAAAGAAATAGGCAATGGTGGAGTCTGGCTGGAAGCTGCATCTATTATCTGCACTGTTCAAATATTGAAGAAATATGTAACCATTTATCTAGCTCAACAATTACTAGTATGGCTAAGTTGATAGATTACATTTATATGATGAGTTAATGGATCCAGTTGCCACTTTGTCATCCCTAATTGCTATGGAGGTGAAAAGCAAGGGTAGGATCAAGGTATCGAAACTGTAGCTTGGTTGTTTTTGTTTCTTGTTTCTGCATGGTGCAGCTTTTTTTTTTTTTCCTCTGATTATTACGTGCTATTCAGCATACCAGAAAAGTTAGGAGACTATTTTAGAGAAGCATCTAATGTGCATGAATTAAAATTCAGCAAGATTGCACTTGTCCTTTACTGAAGTAGTGATGACCTGGATCCTTAGGATGGTCCTATGCGGAGAACTTGAAGTGTGTAGATGAAAGTTTGATGCTAGCTGCGGCTTGCTGGTGGCTTTTATCCCTCAGTTGGGTTGGCTTCTGGTCACTTGTCTTTATTCCATTTGATCCTTTTTACCACTCCATTTTTCCTATATTAAATATGTAGTTTGGACATATCTTCATATAAAACTATGAATAGTATGAAACATTCTTTGCCTGAAGAACGAAGGAGAACGGTGAGTTACTGGTTTAGAAGGTATAGGGTTTTGTGCAAGTTTGATTTTCTTATAGGGGAAAAGGAACAGAACTGGAAAATGGTAATAATACCTTTGTTTATTGAGGTTATCTTATCTTCTTACCCTGTTTCTCATGAGTAATTATGTGGAAGGGTTATAGTTTATAACACTTTTATGACAAAAAAAATGAAGGATTGTTTTTGTTTTTGCTTGAGTAATGGTAATTTTACTCCCTTATAAAATTCACTTGATTCGTTTTCATGCCAATGCTACCAAGTGTCAACTTTCTAATAGTTATGGGTTTAAGAAAAATGCTAATAGGATGTTATGTATGTGTGCATAATTTGTAGTAATACTATCATTCAACAAATAAGGATATAGATGATCTTTGGGGTTTTAGTTATTTTTTTCTCTAAGGGTAGCAGTGACAGTGTGATTCATGGTTTTGATGGGATGAAGTGTTTTTTATTTTCATTCCTAAGCATGTAAATGGAAAAGCAAGAACTAGTTACTTACTGGTAAATGTAGGTTAGGTTCCTTTTCAACAATAGAAAACCAAACCCTTGTAACCTTGCGTCATCATATTTATTTTGCTGAGCTGAGCAAGACAACTGCTTCAGATTACTAATCAATCCAAGTTTTTTTGGTTTACTCATGGCTTGTTTAGTTAGTATCAGATATGTTTAGAATAAGTGTCATTTCATAAAATGGTAAACAAGGATGATGGATCTGGGGATAACTAGGTAAAATGCAACCCATTAGGACGGATAAACAATTCCTATTATCATCCATGGTTAGCATTTACAAATATCTTTAGGTACTAAAATCTGGAATTCTTATCGAATCTTATGTTTTTATGCTCTTGATTGCACGTGGATAAATATTTCTACTAAGGCATTTATGTTTTTTACTTAAAATTGATTGCATGTATATATATTATCCATCTGCTCAAGATAAGGTGTCACTTTAGAAAGAAGAATTTATCCTTTTTTTTTTGTTCAATACAATAAGTAAATGTCTCCTTTTCTTTTGACGTGAAACACAGCATTATTTTATGGTTGGAGGAATGTTGGTGATTTACGACCTAATCTATCTAACTAGTAAAATAATACCCAAAAAGTTGTTGTGGATTGTTATTTCGTTCTAAATATTTGGTATTTAGAAAGTAATGTTAATTTGAGATTGAACATATCTTAATTTACACCTCTCACGGCTCTGCTGAACTGTTTTGACAAAGTTGTACATTGGTGCAGATATGTATAGCTAGCAAGTGAAGTGGGCGATGGTTGGATGATGGTGCTCGAAAAGCTGTCTTGCTTTGGGTCTAGTCGTGGGAAAGTACATATCTTCAGCTAATATACTGTCATGAGGGAATATCTCCTATAGAAATTTATCCTGGAGTAATTTTGGATTCTTTTAGCTAGCCTTTTATTTGTTATTAGTCCTTATAAATTAAATCAGCAACTGTGCTAGGCCTAATTTGGCTCCGATATAGAATTTGCTCCTATGTATAACACTCTTATGCCAAATGTCCTTCCTTGTCTCGTTTCACTACTTGATTGTTTCTTTCAAAACGCTGAGATAAGATATTAAAGAAGGTTTTGCGCTTTTAATAACCAAAACAACATAAAGTTCATTGTCTTTCAGTTTTTTACATAAAAACACAGGTATTGGAAAGTGAAAACAAATAATGTGTATAAACGATTATATGTTTCTGTTTTTTAAATGTAGCTAATATTATAGAAAACAATCTCAAATCGTGTAAGAATGTGTATCTTGTTCGAACCAATTTCTCAATTATTTAGCTCATGTTTCATTTGATCCCCCTATTTCAAAATCTAACTCACGATTAATATAAAGAATTTTACTCAACAGTGTAAGCGCAGATTATTTATCCCTGTCTGACATGCAATCTATATTCATGGTTGAATAAACCATTGGTCATCTTTGTCCAAGACATAGTTGGAGTTTTTTAAAATGCATCTACTTTTCTACTTGTTTCTGGTCTACATGGGTGTTTTGGATTTTTGAAAAGCTCATTCGTCACATGGATTGTGGTGTAGACAACCCTATTTGTTACCAAAAACTAGGGGGTAGTGGTGTTCCTAAAAAAAGAAATGAAACCCGAGCATGGTGATAAATAATGAACCAAAACTGTGTTTAGTCACTGAGTTTCCTTTTAAAAATTATCATATTTTAAAAAATTATAGTTTTTTAAAAGCTTATTGATTAACTAATTATGCAAACAAGCCATAAACACCTTGATGCATGTTTGCATTTGTGATCTCGTGCACTAAAAAATAAGGAATGCCCATGCATGCATGACTATAATATAATAAGTATAAGGAATTTTGTGTGTGTACCAGGCATGACAACGGGGCGGGGTGGGTTTTGCGTCCCCGTCTCCATTCTCGATTTTTTAATATTCTCTGTCCCAGCTCTTGATTCTCGTTGGGGTTAGAAATTAAGTTTCCTCCATTTCAGTCTCAGCTGGGTTTCGGGTTCCCGTCCCGTCTCCGCTGAGTTTCAGGTTCCCAGTCCCGTCTCCGATTTATATTATTTTTAAAAATATAATTACATTTATAATAAATTAATTTTATTATGTATTTTTATATATAAATAAATATTTATAATTTATAATTATTATTAATTAAATATACATTTTAATTTATTATATTTATATTAAATTATATATATGTAAAAGAAATATTTAATCATTATTTATATATATCTATCTAATATTTATAACATTATTATTATTATTATTATAA